GTGGGAGGTTTGCCCAGCTGGTTTTCTCGTAAGCTTTAATTTAAAATGTACCCAATTCATAGAATGCGTCCTTATTTTGGAAGCCAGTTCCAAAATTTACCGCATGTTTTCAATGGACAGTTTTCTGCCTGCCGTCGGCTGTTTTAATACTTATGTCACCACTTTTATTGTTTTCGGCCAAACGCCGTCCACATTCTGTACGGCGCACAATAAATTTTCCGAAGTACTTATTTGAAAAGGTGAGTGGTTCTTCGTGATTTTGTAGTAACATTTTCTGTTGTAGATATTAACGATGTCTCTATTGGCTTTAAACATTTTCGACATAATAACAAAGATAATCAAAGATTTTCGGGACCCTTATTTTCATGACATCTTGGCCTATTTGTCGTCGATAGTCATTATTACTTCGCTGGTTCGTCAACCATTTCTACCTTTTTAATATACAAATTACTTTTGTACTCTGTGATCCCTCTGAACCTAACTGATGAAATATCTAAGTTTAGGAGCTGTGTTAATTATGCACTCACTCCTTTTGCTTGATCAATTTCAAATATTTGTTGAATATATGACAGCCATTATTCGTACAACATCGTTCGTTTGCTTATAATTCCGTTGAGTTCTCCGCTTTCGAAGTCCTCAAAGGAAGATAGAATAGATAGTTCTATTATTTTATTTGATACAAATGAGTTCATCTTTGTCAGTTTTTTTAAACAGACATTAGTATATAAAGTGCTCTGGTTTTTTTTAATAACTTTAAGCCGTCACTTATTCTAGTTTTTTGCTATACGCGTATTTTTGACTTGTTAGTCTTCACTATCATAACTCACTCATTTCGCGAAACACGACTGTTAGGTTTTGCCACTCAAAGGTGGCTTGTATAGTAAATATGAGAACATTTATTATGCATTTGGAAACTCTAGAAACGGAGCATTTAGTTGCGCCTTATTTAACTTCTAGGTTCTGGTTCTCGTTATTTATGAAATTCGTCGATCGTATGGTTGCGTTCAATCCACGACTATTTTTGTTTTTTGGATTCTACTGCTGTTGGCTTCGATCCCGCGAATTTACGAAGTGTTTAGTCAATCAAACCAAGTACGTCATGCTGCATTACTTTTCGTGGTTTTGGTAAATTTGGCCTTATTTTTGATTCCCATAGGGTTCAGTTATGTCGATATTTTTAAAACGTTTTGCATTTTTAGAGTGAACATTTATTGCAGAAGTGTCAAAAGTTATCGGCAGGCCTATTTGTGGCCTTTTTGTCTACTATTGTCTTCTTGCAATTTTTACCATCATACGTAAGGCCATTGAAAACTTCTCTGGTCGCGGTAAGTCCTTCGATTTATATTTCTTTTATTGTTTCTCATGCTTCATATTATTGTTTGTCCGCCTTTCTAAGCCTACTAATAATTTTCAGACAGTAGCGGCGCTGTAGCTTTTGAGCATTTTGACACTTATCCTAAAAGAACGCCCGGTTAATCCTTCCAGTTTTTGAGCAGTCACGTTTAGCAAATAAGAATGAAAGGCAATTTTGTCGATGTTTTTAATTTGGAGGAAATAACTATCAACACACTGACTAAAAGCCACACATCGGAGAGCTATTGTTAGTCTTTTTTGGCCATTTAAATTTTTTGCGGATTTCCTCTTTCCGAATAATTTTTTAACACGAGGAGATAAACCGAATAAACCTATTTATATGAAACAACGCACAGAAACCTTCGTAAATAAAAATATTTACTGCTAAAGGTAACAGTACGTGTTGCTATTGGTTTGAATCTGCGGAGCTTGTAAGATTATATGCTATATTTTTAATTTCTATTCTTTAATTGGTAGTATTCTGTAAGTTCTCCAGGGATCATATTCACGAAACTGCAGTTTTCTTTCAACAAACTGTTTTACAAGGTTTGACTGACGTATTCGTATAATAACTTTAGTTGGATCAGCAAAACGTAAAGTTGATGAATTTTTTTTAAAATCGTATGCTTGGTTATACTGCTCATAAACGGACTTAGTCACAAAGTGAATTTTAGGCCGACATACATCGTTACAATGAGATTATAAAATACATGTACACTACATGGATGTGAAATATGTAAGAGTGTTCTAAGGACCCCAA